CCTCTGTTCCTCTGCACCACTTACCTGTGTTCCTTGGATCATACTCGTGCTGGGATTTTCTTTTCAGAGCTGTCAGAATGCATTTCCTACTCCACCACCACAAGATCCTGGCTGGCAGCCCGAGCACTGTTTGCATAGCTCTCTCCTGTGGAGACAGGGCCAGGGAGAGATGGTAGCAATGGCTTCCCAGGTGAGAGGAAGCTTATTGATGAGTCCCAGCCAGAGAGTAGGGCCTGCCTCTGCCAGTCCCTCTGCTCTAAAGAGTAGCCCTCCTGGAGACATGGGGGAAAGATGATGGAAGGGTACTGGGTCCTGCAAGTGTGTGGAAGTCTGATTCAGCAGGAGGTACAGAGTAGAACTGGTGAGCTAACCAAACTCATAGCTTTCTTTTATACTTTATGGTCACAGATATTGTCTCATTGGATTCTTGTCCAAACCCTGAGGACTGGCATCTACCCCCACTTTATAGAAAGACCCCAAGGCTCAAATTCATTATGCCCCTGCTACCATAGCAGATCAGGGGCATAGAGCCTGGGGCTGCCTAACACCAGCACTATTGTGCTGATGGCTTCATGACTTCTGGCCACTGAGAGATGACTGGCCTGGGAACAGTCACTCGACTCTGAAACCTGGTAGCCTTTCTAATGGGACATCATTCTGGCTGAGGACAATGAGTTAGGATTGTGCTATGGACTAAACTGTGTTCTCCCAAAATTTGTATGTTAAAACCCTAACCCCCAGTGTGATAATATTTGGAGACAGGGTTTATAAGAAGTAATTAAGGTTAAATGGGCCCTAATCCACTAGGATTGATTGGTGGCCTTATAACAAGAAAGAGAGAGTTTTTTCTCTATAAATACACTCACTGAGGAAAGACTGTGTGAGCTCTAGTGAGAAGACTGCCATCTGTAAACCAGGAAGCGTCCTCGCCGGAAACCAGAACTTTGGGAAGTAAGTTTCTGTTGTTCAAGCCACCCAGTCTGTGGTATTGTGTTACACCAAGCCAACTAAGACAGTCTGGTACTGAATCTGTGAGCTGCTTGCTCACCTACAATTTCCATGTACCTGGATCCAATCCAGCCTTCTAGGCCCAACCACCCCCTCAGCACAGCCTTCCACACACAACCCAAGTGAGAAGTGGCCTCTCCCCCCATGGGGTACCCTAGCCCCATGTCTTTCCAGGCTCCTTTATATTACTGTTACTTTCGTACATCATCTCTCGGACTTTCCACCATACTTTAGCACCCATTGCCAGCGTGCAATTTTCTTTTAATTGACTTTTACTTATAATGGACATATAATAATTGTACATATTAATAGGGTATGCTGTGATGTTTCAATGTATGAATACATTGCCTAATCAAATAGGGACGATTACATGTACCACGTCCTTTACTTTAAATATTTATTTCTTTGTGGCAACTTTCTCTTTTCTAGAGCCACTATTTCCAGAACACTTGATAGTTCCACAAAGAAAAGCCAGTAGGTGCAGGGTTTGTCTTTCCCTCTCTCCCCTCCCCAACCCCTCACAAATGATACTAAAGAAAAAGTGGTGGGGTCACTAGGGTGTTTGGGTAAAAGGTACCCTTCAGGGATTGTGGAACTATGCCTACCAGCCTATGCTTGGAAAACCAAGAGCAGGACCTGTGCACCTATGATCTCTCCAGAAAATGATCAAGAATGGCTCTGTGGAGGCCCTGAAGTACCTTCTCTCGTGTTCTCTGCAGTCAGAGAGTTTCCACATGATTTGTCTCAAATTCAAAATGGAGGAATCTAATTTTCATAAGAAAAAATATGTACTTGCTCATATTCTCTTTATCTGGGCACTTGGTGACACCATTATATTCACTTTGTGAATATTGAGCTATTCCCCTAAGGGGGATGGGTGGGTGGCTCGAGGGGTGTTTGTGTATTTCTTTGCTAAACTTCAATAAAAAGTTTACTTTCTAAAAAATTCACTACCTTAAACCCCAGAGCAATTGGGTAAATTTCCCAGGTTGCATAGCTAATTGGCAAATAAAATTAAGGCAGGAACCCAGATTTCATATAGCACCTATTTTAGAATCCTATCTAAAAGCAAGGTTCAATTTCAATCTCTTTGGGTCCAAATGTTACTGGAAATTCCCTTCGTGTCCTTGGGTTTCTCCTCTCCATTTGCAAGTGGACATCATGTTGAAAAGCTGTTTTTCATTATTATTGAGTTCACATATGCTCTGTAGCTGATGACTCTGGCCACCAAAGAAACCTACAGCTTAGGCTACTCCCTCTCATTGGTTCAATGCTCTGGAAGGAAGCTTTATAGGAAGCGCCTTTATGCTTATGTGGGTCTGCGCACCCTGGAAGGTGAGGCAGGTGGCCTGCCCAGGCTCAGGGGTGGTATCACCTTAGGATTTATGGGCAGCCCTTTGGAAAGGTAATAAAACAACCTTTTTTTTTTTTGGGAGGCAGATACCCTGTTGCGCAGGCTAGAATGCAGTGACACCATTATAGCTCACTGCATCTTCAAACCACTAGGCTCAAGTGATCCTCCTGCCTCAGCCTCCTGAGTAGCTAGGGGTACAGGCACGTGCCACTATGCCCAGCTACAACACGTACTAACTTAAGTACAACACCATCAAGAAGGCAGTAGAGAAGACACCATATTGTAAAACCTGAGATGTCCCTCAATTATGTGCAGCAAGACTCTCGTGTCCTGTGATGACTCCACTGACTTTCTGTAGTTTGAGCAGTCCAAGGTGACATTTTGCCAACTAAGGCCTAGGAGTAGATGGCTGGAGGAAATAAAACTGAGCCCTGCCCTCAGCCCCCATCTGTGTAAAAGCTCTTCAGACAACTTTCTCCTGGTCCGCACGGCTCTGAGCAGCAAGGTCAGGCTATTTGCATTCCTAGCCTATTTCTCTGTCCCAAAAGGAAGTGTTTACCTGATTCAGCAGACTGTTCAGCTGTGCTCAGGACATCACAGTGCCACCCTTCTGTGCCACAAACCCACCAGAATCATTCCACTGAGTCTTGGTGCTACAGGTTGGCTCCTTCCTGGCCCTCCTGATCCCATCTCCCCACAATGTCTGAAATGTGGTTTGAAGGACAGTGTGGATACATGTCCAGTTCTGGCTCACGACTAAGCCACTGGTGGGAGAGGGAGGTCTCACCAGCCTTCATAGACTCTTTACCTGTAACCTGGTGAAGTGTTACTAGGTGGTCCATGGGTAGAACTCCTTAGCCCATGATAACCTGCCTACATTTGTTTGCATCTTCTGCAGTCCAGGGACTTAAAAGTAATGGGCTCCAGCATATCAGCCCACTGCACTGTTGATGATCTCTGTAAATTCACTCTGTAAACAGGCTACTGATAACCAGCTCCATTCCTTGAGGGGACCTTCAGGTCACTGAGGGGCTCTGCTTCAGCCCAGTGAGGTTTAAGAGTCTAAAAAGAGTAAGTTCTGGCTAAGCTCTAATGTCCTATGTTAACTTAACAAGAACATTGTGCCTATGCCAGCCCAGACTGGCCAGTGATACCTTTTCAATTAGCAAACCTTCCAATAATAGCATTTTAACAATGAAGTTTCAAAGAAAAACCTTGTTCTTAATTTTTGCCCCAAGAGGGAAAAAACTTATTAATAATGGTATCATCATAAATTCTAAAGTGGTGACCATTTGGCTGTGTTTCAAAACTTGTAGCTAATAATTAAAATAAAGATTTAAGTAAATGCTTTATCAATAAAGTAAATGGTAGGGTATATTCCTCTCAGCCAGTGTCAGAAATGGCAGTACATAGCCCTGTGTGGAATTGTCACACACTGCGAGTCTTTAAAATTCCTCCTGGATTTGAAGGTATTAACAAGTCCCTATCAACATTCCCTAAAGGTTTTTGATGTCATTTTAGCTATTGAACGAAAATATGTGAACTATTACTTTGTTGATTTTGTTCTTAAACCAAACTGCATTATCATCTGAGAGTGTGTTCTTAAAGGTTTGTTAAAAGTACTTTGAAAACTTGTAAATCCCTGTAATTTATGTTTCTCCTGCCTCTGCTGTTCCATTCTGTCCTTCTGGTTTTAATTTGAATGCAGCCCTGTCTGGGTGTGTACCTGTAAAATTGTGTTTTTCCCAGTACAATTTACAGTCCTGACCCTAGGTTTGACAGTGCTCCTAGCCTTCTAGGAGCTTCCTCCTGTACATACAGTGGGCTTTGGGTCACCCAGTTCTTTCATAGTAGAACTGTCTAATCAAGGTTACTTGAAACAGATCTGATTTTGACATTTCTTAGTTTATCATGTAGGCCTCAGGAGTAAATTAAGAGGGCTTCCCTGCAGCCCCATTAATTTCATTGCCCGGTTTCTTTAAAGGTACACAGTTGTAAACCTAGACTTCTACAAGACAACAGTCTGGTTTATCTAAACAATTCTCCTTTTAGACTCAATGGCACTGATGGAAACAGAGATAAGGGGTATGGATTGGAGAAGGATCTTTTAGAGGCTGAACTTGCTGAAACTGTCCCATTCCTCTTAACAATCCCCTTTTCTTTCTAGGACTCGCCTATATACCACATAGATCTGCGTTCAGTATTTTCAGTGAGCTGGGGGTGAGGGAAGACTGCAGTGGGCAGGGCCAGAGGAGAATATTTTACTGTCTAACGAGTGAGCTCCTTGCAGAGTTTAGGCAGTATGTATTCGGAGTCCACGTTACAGGCATCGTCTCTCCATGGCAGCTGTGCCCTTCTTTGTGGATTATAATAATTTTTTAATGGCTACAGAACTTTCAGAATCATTTCCTTATGTTGAGAACATTGTCTTATTGTCTGCTCTCTTAACATATCCCTTACACTAAGCTCTGGTACGAAGTGAGGAGTTTTTTTCTTTACACCTCAGCATGCTCTCCTTGGTTCTAACCAACACTGCTACAGGGTGCCAGGCAGGGTGCAGGGCAGGCTCGGGGCAGGGTGTGGGGGTAGGCTTGGGGCAGGCAGCTTATGGCACTTGCCCTGGGCTCCTCTGTTTCAGGTGATCGTGCAGTCCGGCCGCCACCCCACGGTGCTGCAGAAGCTCTGCCAGCTACCCTTCCAGTATTTCAGTGACCCACGGCTGATCAAAGTCCTGTTCCCTTCGCTTATCGCTGCTTGTTACAACAACCGTCAGAACAAGATCATTCTGGAGCAAGAGATGAGCTGTGTTTTGCTGGCCACTTTCATTCAGGTACTTTCCGCATGATGCCTGATTCTCCGGCTTTCTGTGTAAACGAATGCAATTGAGAAGTAAAAGTGAGCCAGCTGTTTCGTTTCGTTTTGTTGCATTCTACACTACCTTTAAAAAATTTCACATATTTTTGTGCTTAAGAATTAATTTGCAAAATATCAGGATAGTTTCGGAAACATCAGTGATAGAACTGGGTCTAAGTGTTGAATAATTTTTACTTGGAAGATTTCAAAGAAGCGATATTTTCCTAGTTAATGAAATGGTAACCTGCACTCAGGAAATGTTTTTAAAAGACTGCTAGACTTCCTTAAGAGTTTAACTGTACATTTATCTTGATTTTAGTCTAGCTATGGGAAATAGATAATAATTGCTGAAAAAAAGATGAATTAAAACCAGTTTATTTTAGCTGGGCATTGTGACAGGCGCCTGTAGTCCCAGCTACTCGGGAGGCTGAGGTAAGAGAATCGCTTAAGCCCAAGAACTGGATGCCACGGCACTCTACTGAGGGCAACAAAGTAAGACTCTGTCTCTTCCCCTGCCCAAATAACTGGACTGGGCTGGGTCCAGTGGCTCATGCCTATCATCCTAGAACTCTGGGAGTCCAAGGTGAGTGGATTGCCAGGGCTTCAAGACCAGACTAAGAGTGAGACTCCGTCTCTACTAAAAATAGAAAAACTAGCTGGACGTTGTGGTGGGTGCCTATAGTTCCAGCTACTTGGGAGGCTGAGGCATTGCTCAAGCCCAGGAGTTTGAGGTTGCTGTGAGCTGTGATGCCACCACACTCTACCCAGGGTGACAGAGTAAGACTCTGTCTCCAAAAAAAAAAAAAGTTTAATTGTAAATTTTTAAATCAGTATATTTCTCATATATACTTATTACAAGTACATTATACTTTGTATGTATGTATAAAATAACCTGTATATTTCTTTTTGAAAAAATTTAAAACTTTTAAGTATAGCCTTACATTTTTCTGATCCAGTTAAATTCCGTAGGACTAGAATCAGATTAGTGCTATAGCAACGTAATATTTCCACATTTAATTTAACTGAGTCAATTGACAATAAAAAAAATCAAGTTGACTGTTCTTTAACATTTACTAATGTCTAATCATGAGATTTTTTTCTTTTGTCATTGTAGATCATTATTTGCTGAAATGTTTCCAATTGCTTTCAAATATTCCACCATAAAATCAATGTGTTTTTGCTCTACGGCATACATGTGATTAGTACACAGGGCTTTCTCGTCTTTATAACAAAACAGAAAGCAGAGTTCTGTCTTACTGTTGTTCTGTATTCTGGGTAGTAGACAGCTGTCACTGTCAAAGGGTCACGACAGTATCTAATCTGTAGAGGATGGCTAAGGGGTTGCCCGAGCCTTCTGCACCTTAGACAACAATTAGTAGTTTACATTTCCTAAGCTATCCTCTATTACATAATCAATCAATAAGCACAGCTACATCAGTCATGTTTAGAAAAGTTTTATTTTCAGCTTAATTGTTCTGTTTGAGTCTGGGTTCCATTTTCTGGAAAAATTTTCAAGTGAGATATTCAGATCTACAGGTGCAGATTTTCAAAAACTGTCGTACAGTTTAATTAAAATATTAATAAAGTCATATAGCATATAAGAAATAGAAAATACATTATAATTTTAAGACCACAATCTTTTTAAGTTCAAATTATTCATTCTTTTATTCAATAGATAATTTTTGAGTATGTAAGGTATGCTGGGCACAGCTCTGGGCACTGAAAATAAAAGCAATGAAGAAAACAGATAAAAATCCCTGCCTTCACAGAGCTCTCATTAAAGTGGGGAAGGATCAAAAAAATTGGTAAATAGCATGTCAGATGGTGATAAGTGCTGTGGAGAAGGGGACTGCGGGAAGATGATGTGCAGCTTTTTATAGCGTAAGCAGAGAGGTCTCAACAAAGTAATATATGAGCACAGTTTTGTGTCAGTACCGACTTAGTTCCTTACGTTTTCAACTGCTTATATATAACAATTTATAAAGGTACAGATGATATCATAATCTAAAGTCAAGATGTATTATTTAAAAAATTCATTATTTAACACATTTTATAAATGCTCCATAAATGTCTTAATATTGCTTATTTGGGATAGCATGGTTTTTCCTATAAATAATTGTGCTCAAGGGAATGAATATATATTGGCTTCTAGTTTATAAAATGGTTCTTTTCAGGCCAGGTGTGGTGGCTCATGCTTGTAATCCCAGCACTTTGGGGGGCTGAGGTGGGAGAATCATTTCAGCCTAGGAGTTTGAGGCCAGCCTGGGCAATGACAAAGGTTGCAGTGAGCTGTGATGATACCACTGCACTGTAGCCCTGGCAACAGAGCAAGACCTTACCCCCCCACCCCACCCAAAAAGATCTGACAGTTTATCATAAGTTTTTGAAGATTTACATATTATATACTATACATTTTTTACTTCCCATCCATTTAAAAGTAAAATTATCAGACTTTAAGACTTGGGTACAGAATTCATAAGGATTTTTATTTTATTTTATTAATTTTTTTTTTTGCAGTTTTTGGCCAGGGCTGGGTTTGAACCCACCACCTCCGGCATATGGGGCTAGCATCCTACTCCTTTGAGCCACAGGCGCCACCCCATAATGATTTTTATATTTGTACTCTTTTAAATGGTAAACATTTTTCATACAAGGGCTGTCCAGAAAGTATCCAGCCATGCTATATTTTATTGTTAGATTAACAAAACAATGGCTGGGTACTTTACAGACAACCTTTGTTATTTTAAGATAGTAAATTTAGCTTAAAATTTTAGTTTATTAGATATAAAATAAAGTTGTAGTTTCCAAAATAAGCAGTAACCTGGTATCTAGTGATATTTGGCAAAATTTAAGTCATCACTATTTGGTTTGGGATGAAGTATAATAATTCAGATTATGTAACATCACTTTCTTTAGCTTTTATGTTTGAGCTCCAAATTATTTGCGCAAAAGTGGTTGCATGAATTAGAAGTGTATTTAAAGCCATCTTTAGTGAATTCTCTGCTCATGGCCTTGGCGTAAAAACATTTTTTTCTTCTCATACAGGATTTTGCACAAACTCCAGGTCAGACAGATAACCAGTCTTCCCAGCCCAAAGGTAGGTATCTACTAAAATTGTTTCATGTGTCTATTAGCCAAAAGGGCATACTTCCTATCCTTTCCTCTGAAACTTTTAGAGGAGTCAATTTAATGTATCAGTTAAATTCAGATTCAGATACCAAGTATATTTCAGTAAGTAAATTGATTTTGTCATGAAGCATGCATGCATAAGAATATACAGAGAAATCTATGGAAGTAAAAGAACAGCACAAAACATCTTTGTGTAATTATCCTCACCTCGTGCAAGGTACATGTATATTAAATGGTGAATAATTATGAAAGAGTTACTTTGTAATACAGGAAACAATCAGATAATTAGTAGTGACTTAATATTACATAAATGCAGAAATCACACTGGTTTTGTTTCTTATCCATGTTCAGAATAAAGTTATCAATGACAGTAGCCCATATTTTCTCTCTAAATTCAAATACTTGAACTTTTTTATTTAAAATAATTATTTTATATGGAGAAAAAGCCATCAAATTAGCAAAGTCGAGACTAAAAGATTTCAAACATTTCTCTCCATAGTGTTCTTGCTGAGGTGTTTTCCTATGATCAGAACTGGAAATTTAGAATTTTAAACTGCATTTTTACTTTTATAAGTATTCTGCTACCCAGACTATAATTGAGTTGCTCTTTGTCTGGCTGTTGTGACAGCATCCCTGATTAATGAGACCCTAATCCAGATTTTCCCCAATTCCTCCATTAGTTTGATAGTGCCCATTCAGAAACCCACTCCTAAAGGATGAAGGACCTTTGGGGTACCCACCAAGAAGCCCTTGCTGGAGGTGGAGCTTACATTGGATCACACACACGCGGACGCACACACACAATTGTCTATAGTGGGCAAGCAGGTGTTGAAAGTGCATGGAAGAAAATATAATTAGAGCTGTTATAATATCATGAAAAAATGGCATGTTTTATTGACTCTACTACTCAGAAAAATAAACAGAAAGCTATGCAACTTTTCAGAAACATAAGTCAATATCCCATACCATTTGTCTAAACCAGAATTAGTGTGCAAATTCAGTTCTGCCCTGACTCAATTACAACTCCCCCCTTTTTTAAAGATTGAAAGTTACTTGGGAGAAATCAGTGTAATTTGTTACTCTTTCTTACAAAACAATTTTTAATGTTTTAGATATAGATGAAAATACTTAGAAAAATCTTCTAATGTATTTCTTAATTGTACAGCAGTTTTTTTGCCTGTAAGAAATATAGACACTCTTTTCTCTTACTTTTGCTCGCAACTACAAATATAAGTCACCATTTGCTGTATATCTAGAAGACACAATCCCAGGAGCTGCCTATCTCCTTGGTGGGCTGAGGCCTGTGGAAGTCCCAACCTTCTTTCTTTTTATAAGGGACCATCCTCTCTGATTTTCATGCTTCCCCCAGTCATAGTAGGTTTACCCCCCAGAATAGCAGATGGGGAGGTGGTCTATGTTTTGCTCAGAAAGGGTTGTCACTTAGTGACAGTTCGTAACGTTTACTTTTTTTTTTTTAATGAAGATGCCTCTCTGGGCTGCCAGTTTGCATCTTGGACATGTGTTCCTCTTTTGCTTAGATTAAGTCCTCATAAAATGTCATTGCTCAGGTAAAACAGTGAATAAAAAGTAGCTCCCGGCCAGTGCCGTGGCTCACGCCTGTATTCCTAGCACTCTGGGAGGCCAAGGCAAAAGGATCAATTGAGCACAGGAGTTCAAGAACAGCTTAAGCAAGAGCAAGACCCTCATCTCTACTAAAAACAGAAAAACTAGCCAGATATTGTGGCGGACACCTGTAGTACCAACTACTCCAGAGGCTAAGGCAAGATTGCTTTGGCACAGGAATTTAAGGTTGCTGTGAGCTATGATGCCACTGCACTCTACCCAGGAAGACGGACTGAGACTCTCTCAAAAAACAAAACAAACAAAAATAAATAAATTAAATTTAAATTAAAGTAGCTCTGGTAGAGCCATATTCTTGCTGCTGAGGAGGAATTTGGGTTTTCAGATACCTACTGACTGTCCAGCTATGAAGTGGTTTATTTTGTTTTTATCATTGACCAGTGAAATTCCTAATCATTTCCTCTGCTTTGTTAAGTAGGCAGTCGAGGGTGGCGCCTGTGGCTCAGTGGTAGGACGCCGGCCCCGTATACCAAGGGTGGCGGGTTCAAATCCTACCCTGGCCAAACTGCAACCAAAAAATAGCTGGGCGTTGTGGTGGGCACCTGTAGTCCCAGCTACTTGGAAGGCTGAGGCCAGAGAATCGCCTAAGCCCAAGAGTTGGAGGTTGCTGTGAGTGACCGAGGGCAATAAAGTGAGACTCTGTCTCTTAAAAAAAAAAAAAGTAGGCAGTTGAATGCCAGATTTGAACAACTGTAAGGTTATAAACTAAATTCACATTTTCAATTAAATAGAGTATTTCAGAATACAAATGTCATCCTTTGTTGATGACAACAAATGTCATGACTACTATGGCTAACTTAAGGACAGAATATGTGACTGTTATTTCACCTTGTGTATCATATATACAGAGGGTACCAAAAAAAAAAAACCTATACACATTTTAACAAAGGAAAAAACTGTACTAACATTGTAATACTCAATATATACTGATAACTAAAGATGAACACAAGTCATGTTGAGCACCTCTTGTAATTGCAGAAGTCAAATGTGACTTGAATGTTACAAATGTAATTGTTTTTTCTTTCTTAAAATATGTATACATTTTAGGGCAGCGCCTGTGGCCCACGGAGTAGGGCACCGGCCCCATACACCAGGTGTGGCGGGTTCAAGCCCGACCCCGGCCAAAAAACTGCAAAAAAAAAAGTATACGTTTTTTGGCACCTCTCTATATATTTTCAGAGATGGAGTCTTGCTGTGTTGTGCATGCTGGAGTGCCGTAACTATTGACAGGCTCACTACAGCCTTGAACGATCCTCCTGCCCCCACCTCCTAGGACTACAGGTGCATCACACTCTGCTGGCTTCTGCTTATTTTCTTATTCTGGAATCCAAAACGAGCTTTTTTTCATAAGGTTTTATGTAGGGATTAATGTCTAAATATGTTAGAAGCACAAACTGGATTGTGGTTTAAATAGCTATTTTATAAGATAGATAGATGCTGATAGATCGATCACCTTATTTACCTAAAATGTATAATGGTTTATTTGAAGTATACCTGAATCTCCATTTTGTACTCAGATAGCAACATAAATTTGATTTCTTAAACTATAAAGAAAGAATTTATCTCCTTTTTACTTTTTTCTTTTTTTCCTCAGGGAAATGTTTTGGTTCCCAAGACTATCTTGAGCTGGCTAACAGATTTCCTCAGCAGGCCTGGGAAGAAGCTCGACAGTTTTTCTTGAAAAAAGAGAAAAAATAAATGTCTTGGTTGGTTCTATATTCGAGTACCTTTGTTAATACTTTAAATTGTTCCCCAAAAGTTCTAACTGTTCCTTAAGAAACTCATTTCCATGTGTTTATACTCTCCCCCTGCACTGTAGATATGGTATATACTTTGCACTATTTATAATGACTGTAGATACTTTAATGTTCTGCTTTCTAATTTTGCAAGTTGAGTTTATTTCATTTATGCACAATGTCTTAGAGTTCAGTAACTTCCATCCTGTAATAATGTATACTTTGCATTTGTACTATGGGTGAAATTAGGCATAAAATTAGGAAGTCTGTTTTGTTCTTGTAATAAATATAACTTATTCTGTTTTCAATGTTGACTTTTCATGTTAGGGTAATACATATCGGCAAGAAAAATGTTAACTCCAACTCCTGAAATATCTTAAATTTACCTGCCCTAAATTTTCCTTTTTGAGATTTGGAGTAAGGGGGAGCGCCTGTGGCTCAAATGAGTAAGGCACCAGCCCCCTATGCCAGAGGTGGCGGGTTCAAACCCAGCCCTGGCCAAAAAAAACTACAAAAAAAAAAGATTTGGAGTAAGAACGTTTATAACATTTTTCCATTCTAATTACATAATATGTTTTGGGGGGTACTTGAAATGAATTTAGAGTGCTGTGTTCAATGGTCTGCTTGCACTTTCCTAGCAGATAATACTGAGGACCTCCCTTAGCATTGCTGAACTCGAGTTACTCGTCTCAATAAAAATTAGTGATCTTTTAAGATCAATTAGAGTTAATCAACCTAGGATATTTTCTCAATTGTGAAATGAAGCAACGCTGAAGTAAAAATTAAACAGAAGGTCACGGTAGCTCTGAATAAAGCTGTAATCTCCTGTGCACCTCTCACGTGTCTGCCGGGGAGATGCTGACCTTTGCCTGGTATCTTGTTCTCTTCCTTTCTCCACCTTAAGCCATGGTCAGTGCTAAGCCGGTCACTGAGTGACACAGGTAATAATTTCTGTCAGATAAGGATCAAACATTACCAAGAAAGAAGATCGGGTTGGAAAAAAAATGATGTGATATGTATTAGACTCAAGACTATGGGGAGGGCCGGGAAATATGTAAGTTTTAAAAAGTAAACTGACCTACCTAATGTTCAGGGTACTTCTTTTTGAAGCCTCACATAACTGACGGGTTTTGTATATGCTGCTTTTTACTTCTTTGCAAATCGAGAGAAAATAAAATGATCCGATTAAAAAAAAACTTAAATTCCCTGTGCGCCGGACGCTAGACTCAGCGCCTTCCGGGGCCCCACCCCCGCCGCGGGCCCCAAACCTGCGGGCCGGGCTCCGGGCAGCCCCTTCCGCAGCGCGGCGCGACTCGGCTGCCGGGACGCGGGGGCCAGGACCGGGACACCTGGGCGGCGCGGCAGGGCGGGAGGCCCGGGAGGCCGAGAGGCCGCGGCGGCGGGCGGGCGGGCGGCCCGAGGGGCGGAGGCAGGTGCGGGCCGCAGGCTCCTTTCCCGACTACCGGCTGCCCGGGGCGCCCCAACCCGGAGAGCTGTTCCCGAATCCCGCCGGCCCTGCTCCCGGGGCGTGGGTGCAGGATCCTGGTCGCTGAAAGGAATCGTCAGATATTTATATGATTTCCTGCAAGACGCTTCACAATAGAATATACTTCTTATCTGTTCGGAAATCTGCCAAAAAGCCATCAATAATTGAGACAGCTGTGATTAACCTCCCAGAAACCGTACCAGAATTCGCAATTAAACGTTTAATTGAATGGTCTCTCTGCCGCCCCCGTCCTGGACGGGAGGGGCCTGCCGGGCAGGGCCTGGGTGCCGGGGGCTTCCCGCCCGCACTTTCTGGAGTTCTCAAGTTCCCTTCCTTAATGCGCCCCCGGCCCCGCGTGATTTAAGCCCCTTCTCCCCTGGGTTTTACGACTTCCAAACTCCCAGGAGATGGGGAGAGCGCACGCCCAGGTGAGCGCGGGCACATCTTGTTCCAATTTGCGGGGATGCAATGCCACCATAGGTTCTCTCCGGCGACCAGGGCCACATCCCGGGTGTGCCGCGGCTCCAGGGCTGCAGGCGGACACATTGGCGTGGGCGAAAGGCCTGCGCGTCCGGCCTGAGACGCCGACGGTGAGACTGGGCACAGCGAGAGGAAAAGCAACAGTTTCACCTGGGCTTGAAAGCCCAGATTTTGAGTCAAATAGAGAAAAACTGCCCGGGGGCAACGACGTTTGTAAGCCCAACGCGGTTGCTCAAATGAACTTCCTGCCTCAAGAGGCTGTTGGCTTCTCCGGGCAGCATCACCCGGGCCGCCCGGCAGGACGTCGGGGCCGCTGCTTCCAGCCCAGTTCCGAGAACTGGAACCCCGAACCTGGGCTGGTCAAGCCTATGTCTGGACCTCGGCCTCCGCTAATGTCTCTGCCCTCCTTCCCAGGCACAACTGGGTTCTTCCTTTGCGGGCTCCTAGCCCAGGCTCTCCCGAAGTCTTAGGGTCTGAAGAATCTGCGAAGAAATCCTTCCTCACCATCTCTATTATTCCACTTACCTCTCCCTTTCTCCTCTCCACCCTACGCCCAAACCCTGGGGTCTCAGGACTGCTGTACTCAAACCATACCTAACTTATACGTCGCGTTTGGGGAAAACGCTCAGCCTTTTGAGCTCCTGCCCGCCCCTGAGCACACTGCACACTGACCCACTCTGCCGCCAGCGGCTGACCATCTTGACCTGGAGGTCTGGAGGTACCGGGCAAAGGCTGGACTTACCTGGGACAACCCCTTCTCTATCGGGACTGCTGCTGGGGCCTCCCTACCTAACTCACTATCTGGGTCCCAATAGAGTACTTCTTTGTGCCCTTTCTTGCTCCCATTACTACCTTCAATCTAGCTCAAATATTTGCATCTTCCCTGCACAGTCTCCATCAACAAGGTGCTAGTAGGTAATTGGTCACACAGTCCTCATTATTGCACTGAATCCCAGTATTTTCAAGAAAGTTTACTTTCACATCAATCAGACCCACATTTAAAAGCATCTAATCTTCCTCACATCACCTTAATAAACTCTGAATTTCCTGCTTTTATCACAATTCCATTGGGAACTTCTCTGCAAACAGTTTTTCATCCACTGTTTCTTCCCTCCACCGTGCTGTGGAGGGAAAGGATGCACCTCCGTGGGTGGCTCACAACTACAGGAAAGAAAAGCTTGTAACATTTTATACAGTAATACAGAGAAACTCAGGCATCTTAATACACAATAATCAGCTAATTCTCTTGCTCTCTCTGGTGAAGACTCTTAGGAGAAAACACAGCTAACTGTGTGGCAGTCTCTGCCCTTCCTTGGGCAGCAGTAGCAGAATCTTACATTTTCTACAGAATGAACTTAGACAGTGTCTCGTTTAAACCCAGTTATTTGCAGCTCTGACAAAATTAAGGTTTAAGTTATTCCATATTCAAAACTGAAAGCTGATTTCTGTTCCACAACCCATTAAATATTAAAGTTTGTTGGGAATACTGCCACAGGGACTCTGAATTTCCCAGAATTACAAGTCTTTCAATATGTATTACATTTTGTGGTAATAATAGCCATAAACTTTTCCCTCTCTGGGAATCCCTTTCCTGCCTAGACATATCCAAACTATTAGATATGTCTTCTGAGAAAATCTTATTCTAAAGTCAATCCAACTGAATAACTAACACCCATTTTCCATCTATGGCAATTCATCTTTTATTGAACTTTTACTACACAACTGGGTATCTAACGTTAAAAGTTCAGTAAGCATAAAATACAACACTTGTAATTGCTACAGGTAATTTAATTTACAGGAAAATCCCTGCTGCATTACAGAGATATTTAAAGATGACCTGGGAACTAGTAAAACTGATATTCATTAATGTAACTAGCCACAGGTAGATCTGACACCTCACTAGGGACCACTGTAGTAGGCTTCAGAGTTAAACCCTTCACTAGAAATCCACACAGAAAATGATGCACCTCAGTGGGTGGCTGGCAACTACAGGAAAGAAAAGCTTGTAATACTGTATACAGTAATACAGAGAAATGCAGACATCTTAATACACAATAAACACTTTATGTGGGCATTATCTCAATATTTAAAAAGATACACATATAACAAAAAAAAATAAAGATAAAAAAATTAAAAATGAATTAGATTTTTGATCTACAGATGATGAGGGAAGAGGTAACTAGAAAAGTAGACATTTCCATCTGTAGTATAAAAATACTGTAGTCTATCAAAAGCAAAAATTCACAGCTAATTAACAATCATTAATGAAATTTATTCAAGTACCTGTTATTTCCTTTTTAATGAGAAATGAGAAAACCAGATATTCTAGATAAATCAAAGTTTCTGAAAGTAAGATTTATCAGAAGTTTAGTCCCCTATCCAATGTCCACCAGAAGGTAAAAGGAGAAATCTACGTTTCTGTTTGGAAAGGGATGATCTAGGTTAAGAGATTGAAGCCTCAAAGAACCCAGACCTGATTATTAAAGCCATTTCTGGGCACTTGAGAGGTAAAGCTGGTCTGCATTAACCCTGCATATCTCTTCCCTTATCTCTAAGTTTGCAGCTCCATTTCCTAAATCGTGAAGAAAGGGAATGTTCCCTTTAATATTTGTGCAAGCACCACCGTAACTTTCAGGAAGTAAAATACAAAAGTGGCACAATGTTCCCACCTCCTCCCATTTTTTTCCAATAATTGTCAGCAAGGCTTCCATGATCAAATTGGGATGGAGTAGGGGCTAAGAAATCCTGCCATAAGCTCTGCCGATCGCCCCACCGCGGCCTCTGGTCATGCAAGCAGCCATGGCCATCCCTAACCAGATTGCAGCTGCCCCTGGAACATATTTTCCTTAACAGCGTCTACCTAAACTAAGACAGCAACTAACCCCTACTCAGAGTGTTGCCCCTTCCAAAACAAACCCTCGACAAAGATACACTTGAGGCTCATTTGACTCAAGGGATAAAAAAATGGAAATTCGACGCCTGAGATTCTTACAAGACGGCTAGTCTGGTAGCTTCTTGAGTCCACCCAGAGAGGGCTGGTCTTTCGAAAGCACTCTCCCAGGTTGCCAAAGGGTTAAATATTTGTGAAGGGTAAAACCTGAGCCCTTTTTTTTTTTTTTTTTTTTTTTTTTTTTGTGCTTGCCCGGAGGCCAACTGGAGATTCAGTATCTCTCGGTTATTTCCTGCGATCACTAAAGCCAGTTTTCAAGAAAACAAGTCGCAGGGGTTTGAAATGTCACACCAAGTGACCTGGGCACGGCATATCCAGGGGCCATTCCCAGCCCCCTCCCACCCGGGCCGCTCTCCGCCCCCTCTATTTCGGGTCTGGAAAGAAAATAAACCAAAGACACGCCAGACTGGTTCTGGGTGGACTTATTTTCCCGGCAGCCGCGATCCTAGCGGGGGCTTGTTGTGGCTCCTTCAGTGTATCGCTTGCAGGTGATGCCAAATGCAGATAAGGAGCCGTCGCCCGGCCTTCTACTCTGTCTAGACGGGGGAATTAATAAATGCAACGCGATTGATCAAGTCATGCATCCACTCAGGGGTCGGCGCGGAGGATGAGCCGTCACGGCCGCAGCATGTAGCTGGGGTCGGCCTCTCGGTTCGTCTCGAACCCTGGGCCGGCCTTGCAGCTCAGCAGCTGGGCCAGAGGTGGCGGGCGAGGCGCTCGGGGCTTGGAGCCTCCCAGAGGGCCTACAACCCGACGGCAAAAGCAGCCCTAGAGGGCTGGGTTGGGTTGGGCTGGGCAGAAACTGGTGCTAGGGCTCGAAGCTCAGGCCTCGGCGGGTGCCCGGCCGCTGAGGTTTCCAGGAGCCCAGTGCGCAGGGGTGTGGCGAGAATAAGCCGGAGAGGGAGACCCGCCCTCGCCAGCTCGACCACAGGCCAAAATTCGCCGCTTAACCTCCACCAGAGCCTGCAGTTTCCCGCCCAAACGTGGTCGCCCCACCCCCGAGGCGCCGAGGTGGCCGCAGGCAGGGAGCGCGCGCCGGCTTCCGGGAGGACCTCGGCGCTAGCGCGCAGCTCCAGGCGCACCGGCCGGCCCCGCCCCCACCCCCGCGCTGCGCCCAATCCCCGCCCGGCCCGCCCCGGCCCGGGCCGCTCCAGAGCACGCGGGCTAATGACACGCGACTAGCAGGCGAGGGCCGCGGGACCCCACGCGCAGCCCAGCACGCGGAGTCCGCGGAGACTTATTTGTTTGAAACAACCCCAATCGTAGAGCCTGAGCTCTCCCAGCCCTCCCACTGCGCCAACAGCACACAGGAGCAGCATCGCACTGATTATTATTTTTTATTAAGACCAAAATAATCGTCCCACTATGAACTGGCTGTCCTCACAATAAATTAACAATAACTTACGTTTGTTTGTTCGGCAAAGGCTCACACACTGTCCTCCGTCGAATGATAATTTAAAACATTTTCAACAAAAGTCTTGTTTCTACTTTTTTCCAGCAATCATGCGCTTTGGGGAGTTGAGTCTGTTCCTTTAGGCTGTCCCCTTCTTTTCCCTGCCAGAGCCCGGGCGAAGCCACCTGGGAGCGCGGGGCAGGGTCAGGACGGGAGCCCGCGTGGGCGAGCTCCGGGCGGGCCTAGCGCGGTGAGGGTCCCGCGAGTTCACGCCAAGTCAGATACGTGCGTGGGGCGTGGAGGGGCGGAGCCGCCGCGGCCACGCGGAGCACGGGAGAGAGGGCAGAGCTAACCCTCTTAAGTCCCAAATAATGGTTTTGAAAAACTAAAAGTCCTCGGAGCCGGGATCTCAAGTCTGGTGAAAGCAGTTTTGCGTCCTGGTGTTTTGGGCTGTCCTGACCGCCTCTGAGTACTCTCTCTTTAAATAACAATAATAGTAAGTACACGGGCGAGAGAGTTTTCGGAGCTGGAATGGCCTGAGCATGGGTGAGTCTCATGCAGGGAGCATGCGAGGTCCGCGGGCTGGCATGAAAGGGTCCTCTCACGTCTCCACTGGACTCGGCACCATACTGTTGGGGGTGTCCGGGAGCTGCGAGGACAGGGAGGTGACGTCGCTGCCGGAGGAGTTGCCTAAGGAGCCAGACTCGGAGAAGGAGACCTGGGGCGATGGAGACACCAGGAAGGAGCGGGTGAAGACGCACCCGAGTTAGCGTTCCGGGGCTGCTGCTCCGAGTTGGTGAGTGTCCCTTGGGGACCGGCCGCCGGCTGAGAACAAGCCCTGCCGAAAAGGAGGCCAGTCCCCAGGCGCACGCAGGGGGATTAGGGCGGGGGTGGGGCTGGTTAATCTCGCGACCTCTCCGGTATTCACTTTAATCCAGGAAGACCTTGCAGACCCAGCCACTGTCCTCCTCCCCCATTGACCAGAGCTGTCTCCTGCCCTTCACCCCAAGCCCCCCTCTCCTTCCCGCAGTGCCTAAGAGGCTAAATCCTCAACACCCAGAGCCCTGAGGTCCGCGGGGGTAGGGCAGGGCCTCAGGCCTCACCAGCTGCTGGAAAGCAGGTTGGTCCAGGTCACTCTGAAGGGCGAACTCGCTGAGCGCTTTCCACGGCGGCTGGTATGTCTGTACCTCGACGGCGCTGCCCTGCACGGCGCTCTCGTGGCGGATGGGGCTGCCGGCCACCAGGGGCGTCCCAGTCAGTCCCTGGAGGCTCTGTGGGTCAAGCAGAAGGCGGCAGGCGCTCCAGTTAGTCGAGTTAGGTCTTGCCTTTTTCTGCCACCTTTAAGACTGGGGCTCCAGGCTCTGGGGCAAGAATCAGGGCCTGTATTGGTTTAGGGGTGCACACTCGGAAGAGCTCTTCTCCTCCACTGAATACACCTTGGAGTCCGGCCAATACACTGGCCACGGTAGGCCTGCCTCAGTCCTGGGAACCAACCACACAGCAAGGGAAGGCAAGACCTGAGCTCCCATCCCTGGCCACATATGCTAAGAGAAGGACACAACCCACCAGCCCGATGTAGGAGATAAGCACCCCTTGCTCAGACATGGCAGTTCACTTCAGTGTGCTCCCCCAGGAGATTGATTCTGAGAAAGATTTCTTTGAAGATCGAGCTTCTGTTTTGCCGCCTTGGGCTCCCCCTGCCCCGGGACTACCAAGCCCTGGCTGCTGCTTGGACCAGGAGAAGACCCGACATCATACAAAACTATTAGGAAGCCTTAAACCAGCAGTTCTCAACCTGTGGGTCGCGACTGCTTTGTAACAATGAAAATACATCGTGTATATATCAGATACTTACACTAGGATTCATAACAACAGCAAAATTAGTTATGAAGTAGCAATGAAAATAATTTTATGGTTGGGGGTCACTGCAACATGAGTAATTGTATTAAAGGGTCGCGGCATTAGGAAGGTTGAGAACCACTACCTTAAACCTTAACCCTCAAGGCAAGCCTTGCTCTGAAGTTACAAATACACGCTATTTGGAGAGTCCAATTCGCCCCTGATCTTCCCAGAGCTCTCCCAGGAAACCCCACGCAGACACTGTGGCGAAACACGAGGCCCTACCCGACCGGGTCCTGCGGCCGCGAGACACCTCACCGTCTTGTCGTTGTGCTGCTGCTGCTGCAGCTGCTTCATTAGAATGGATTTCTTCTTATCCTTGCAGCGCTTGTTCTGGAACCAGACGCGGATGACACGCGGGCTCAGGCCGGTCATCTCCACCAGCTGTTCCTTCATGAGCGCGTCTGGCCGCGGATTGGCGGCATAGCAGGTACGGAGAGTGTGCAGCTGCTTCTCGTTCAGCACAGTCCGCACGCGGGTCGTCTTCTCCGTCTGCTTGTGCACGTGCGGGCGCAGTGAGGGCTGCCGGGCCGACCCCGGGTCTGCGAGGACAGGGTGGGGCAAGAAGTGAGCGAAAGGCCCCCTACCTCCCGCCCAGCACCCAGCTTCTGGGTGGCCGAGCCCTCCCTGGCCCGATTTCGTTTCTCTTTTATTCCGCTTGTTTCGTTTTATTGTTCGTCTCTTTCTCAGTCTGTTCGCCTTACCCGGAGGGAGCTGTGCGTTTTCACCCTTTGGCTCTCGCCTGGGCCAGAATGCCCCGCAGCGGTCTCTCGAGAGCTCCGATAGGCCGCGGCAGGACAGGAATGGCCATTCGGGGCTATGCCTCCTCCGGTACCAGACCCTGGGAGGGCCTGCTTGGGCCCGGAGGGGCGAGAGAAGCCCTCCGGAAGAAGAGGAAGTTTCCGGGAAAGAGGAAGGAGGCGCTCCCCCGACTCTACGGAGTAAAGAAACCTATGGGGACCCGCCGGGGTGCGGCGCTACTCCGGGACTGGGGGACTATAGCCCGCTCCCGGGACCTATGAGAGCCCTTTCTGCTCGGTCAGAGCCCTGTGTGGGGAAGACCCGGCCTCCGATCTGGGACACTCACAGGCCTCCAGGGCCTGGAACGGTTCCTTCCCGCCCGCCCTAGGGCAGAGGACCCCCCGGGTCTCCATGGCCCCTCATGGCCCAGGCTGGGTGAGCAGCGGCCGCGTGCTCCTCTCTTGACCTGGGGTTCTTTCAATCCCGGGGACATAGTGCCTGGTTCCCACAGCCCACAGGCCGAAACAAACAAAGGGTAGCCCTCTGACATCGGAGACAGGGGTGCACTCAATACCCCCTTCATCCTGTTTCACATCCCCGTCCAAACCTGGCCTGCACACTCATATGCTGAACTGTTTAGATTTATTTCTCCCTTTAGGCAATTCTAGGTCTGGACAAATATTTACAAATTGCCCATCCAGCCCAATTTCCTCACTCTATAGAGAGGACATGGAGATGCAGAGAGGGGAGGAGGCCTGCCAGGCCACACAGCACCCAGAGGTTCAGCCTGGTCTGGAGAGCTGTGCTGCAGGCGGGAGGCTGCCTGGGAGGAGCTGTGGCCTGGGGCTGAGGCACCGTTGTTTCTTTTATCCCCACCTGCCTGTGGCTACACACTCAGACCCCACCTCTGGACAACTGCCTGGTTATGACGTAAACATCCTAATGAAGTGTTTTCAATGATACCAAAGTCCACTGTACCTTTACACTCCCCCCCACCCCGAAAAATTCGGCTAAGTTGTTAATCAAACTGGACCAAACACAGACACCCTCTTTGTGGGGTTGTCAGCTTCCACAGCCTTTTCACCAGCGTGCCCCAGTCTGGCTGAGCCTTCGCCCAGCTCCCACTTGGGAGCTGTATTCCTTATGTACACACCCCCAGGCAAACCGATTTTCTCTCCATGAAAACACGTACTCATCCAACAAAGTCTGAATACAATCCCCCCAGACAAACACCTCTTAAGATTTCCTGTTGTCATCCACCCTTCTGCTCCTAGTACGGTGTGCCCCATTTCCTAATCACGGGGGACATAGTTCTGCATAATTCCCCGTGCTCACACACTCATACCCTCGCGATTTGTTCCCTGCACACACGAACAGAGTTAGCACACAGTTGGGCACTCATATGGAAAAACACACCGTCCCAGCAGACAGAACCACACACAAGTGACACCTCACCTCCTTAGGAACACAAGCACCAGTCACCGCGGCGCAGGCCCCGGGGCGCGGCTTACCTGGCAGATGCAGGCCGCGGGCGCCGGGGAGCTGGCCGGGGCTGCGCGGGCTGCCGGCTGCAGCGCGCTCCAGCAGGAGGCCGTGGTCCGCGCGGCAGAGCAGCTCGTGTTCCCGCAGCGAGAACTCGTCCCCAGGCAGCAGCTGGCGGCTGCACACCGAGCAGCGAAAGCATTCGATGTGGTACACGCTGTCCCGTGCCCGCATCACCAAGTCGCTGCTGCTGAAGCCCACCTGGCACTTGGCACACTTGATGCCGAACAGCCTGTGGGCCCGAGGCACGGGCAGCATCAGCACCGTCCTGCGGTCGCCCTCCCCAGCCCGGCTGCTCCGGGCTCCGGGCATGAGCTCCTAGGACGCTTTGTGGCCCACTAGGAGGCTGCAGCGACCCGCCCGCCGGGCTTCCCAGGCCCAGAGGCGCGCCGCGGCCAGTGTTCGGGGTGGGGGCGGCCGTCTCAGCGGCGGGCGGAGGTGCATGGACGCGCCACAAGCCCGGAGCCCTGGCCCAGTAGGCCGTAGCCGAACCCGGTTCCTGCCGGCCTCACCTGACGTAGTCCCGCTTGCAGTAGGTCTTCCCGTCTCTCACGAAGCACGTGCACGTCTCGTCCAGATACTGGCTACACTCGGCGCACTTGAGGCAGGCGGCGTGCCACTCGAGGTCCGGCGACACCCGCAGGATAAACTGGTCGTGGATCTGACTCCCGCAGCCCACGCACATGGCCGTCCCGGGCTTCTCTGCCGGGGAAGGGCGCAGGGCTGCGTAAGGCCTGACTGCCTCGCTCCGCGGGCCTCGGCCCCTCCAGCCCCAACCCAACCCGCTCACTCTCACGCTAGCTCTTTCAAGAATTGCGACCACAGGGAACGGAGATGAGCTTTCTAAAGGGCCTGACTACTGAAAACGAAAAAACCCAAAATCTTCTGAATTCGTGAAGACTATCTCTTTCCACCCCATCTCCCCAAATATCTTCCATATGACATTCATTGAACGCAGTCATTTTATCGACGTGTCTTGTCACTAAAGGCTGACATGAAGGCGAGAAGGATGTAAATACACAGCACAGCACTGCGGATGCCTCGGCAGCGATACCGCCCGGCACTGTCCCGGCATTTCCGTCCGCACACTCCCACTCACGACGACTCCCTCCAGCCCCGCACCGACACATCAGCTTTCAGCAGAATCCCCGCTCATCCTTTCTCACATTTCTCCGTTTAACTATACTACATCAGGCGGGAGAAATCGTCCTCGCTTTGAAAGACCAAAAGACATGCAAACAAACAAAAAAAGCCACATCCCTAAATCAAACCTAATTGCTTTTGCGCAAAACAGAAGCAGATTTCATAGCCTGAAGTCCGCCTAGCCGCCTTGAGAAATAGTGTTTACTTATGAAATAAAACAATAGAATTCCAAAGGACAAGCACTCCTGCAGGAGAAATGCATATATTTTATTTTTTTCTCGTCTAAAGTATCCTGTCAAATATAAGCCACTTGTAGAATCCGCTAAACATTCTTCTGCATTAGAAAATTTTGCATATTAAGCACAGGCATACACACCCATACACACACACACACACAGGAAGACTTACTCTTGGAATGATCCCCCATAGCACCCAGAAAAGGATAATGAAAAATAATATCCACCATGCAGAAAAGAGATGTGCGCAAAGTGTGTGGCCAGGGGCAGAAGGACAGGGGTCTCGCGCCCAGCCTCCGCGCTTTGCTAACTAACTCCTCTGCCCCGCGGAGTTGAAGGAGCGATTCCGCACCGGCCCGCACGCAGCATGACGTCAGCACGCACTCGCCCCGGGCCGGAGCTGGGGGCGGGACCTGTGGCGTCACGAAGCTTCCCCAGAACCTCTGGCGAAGCAAGGGAGGTGAAGGGGACCTGGGGGCTGATGGGCGGGGTGGCTTGGTTGGAAGGCGGAGGATGAAGGGAGATTGGCTGGGAGGAAGTGGGCAAACCCTGATTGGCCCGGAGTGAACAATGGAGCGTAGCCCTCCTCCCCCGAAATGTACAAGGATCCTCTCTCCAACCCCGGGTCCAACAATTCGGGCTGGACTTAGAGTCACCGCAGCCGCGGAGCTACCTCCTGGACTTGAGGGACGATTTTCCCTGGCACGCTGGAGCAGAGTGATGGGTACCTGGGGGTGAGGGAGGCTCTCCTTTAAAAGCGCCCTTCTTTTATAAATAAGAAATTAAACATCCCTTCTCCGGACGAGTGAGCTGGGGGAGAGGGAGAGCCGCTTGGATAGTACCATCAAAGTCCAGTCGGTCACCTTTCTGTCATATGCCTTGGTTCTTGGGGTTCAGAGAGAGAGATCAGAAAATGACTACCCAGGTTTAAATAAATTGCATTTAGACTTCCCACCCGCGCCTGCAGAAAACTTCCAAGTGGGAGCATTAGGTGGGTAGCGCCGCGACGCAGGCTCCAAAGACGCTCGCCGAGAACGGGTCCTGATTCGGCGGCGGCTGCTGCTGCTACTGCTTCTTAACCTCCTCCTCTTTTTTCCTCTTCCTCCTCATTCTTCTTCTTGTTTTCTTTTCTTTTTCTTTCTTTTTTTCTTTCTTTTTTGACTCCTCCTATCCTTTCCCGCCCAAATAGCAGAGGTCCTTCTAGGAATACTGCTGGGGTCCAATGTGCGCCTCACTTTAGCAGAATAAAAGATTTTTACGAACACTTCTGCTTCATTCCACAAAGCAACTGCAGTGCAAATAATCAGAAACTCATATGACGCGCTGGGTGATTTACAGTACTATCTGTGTCAGTCCTTCGAAAATCCACGCCTTAAGAGCGGAGCGTTCGGGCATTCTTTCTTTCAAAGAAATCGCTGTGGATTTTGTTTGAAAGGATTCAAAGACCGGCCCATGAATTATAAATAACAGATATCCTACCACAGTGTCTGTTGTTGTTTTCCATTAAAAAGCTATCCAGAATTTGGTGCGCACCTAGGTGGGGCTGCGGGGAGGGGGGGACGCCTAGAGATTAAGTGTCTCCCCTAGAATTCCAGATCTGCCCGCCAGTCTGCCCGAGGGCAGGGTCGGGCCCGTTGACTTTTCTGCTAAGAACCTGAAGCTCGTTGGCCTCAAGCTCCGGGCTGTTCGCCGGGAAATGGGTGCAGCAGGGGTTAGGCTCTGAACGCAAGCTAAAGTCTCCGGTCCATGGTCATTCACCGCAAGGCCAGTGAACTTCCGTCACTCGCTGCTGTCAGTATCACCTTTGAACCGTCTAGTCCTCTCAGTAGTGGGGGCTCTTTGTCACAGCTTACCAACCCGTCAGTCAACAGACCGTCTCTTACATCTTTCACCATTACTGCCCCGAAGAGCGTTGGGGGGGTCTGGATTTGCTGCTTCTGAATTAATTCATCTATGTAAATAAATGGGCGGAGAGGAGCAAGAGGGCCGGTGTCCTTGCGTGTGTCTGCCCCAGGTCCCTTGTGTGACCTCAGGCATCTTAATTCTCCTTCCCTTGAGTTCCTCATCTATAAAGTGGGGTTTAATAATAGTAGCTGCCTGTACTGTGTAAAAACTAAAACTTCTCTGGGAAAGGCTTACAACAACACCTGGCAGGTCGCAAGTGTTCAATCTGTGTTCATTAAGAGAATTATCATTATGGCTGTCTCTTTGTGTAGGGAGCCACTCTTCACACTGTGTCTGAGTGTGTCTATACCCCCGTGTGTGTCATCTGATAATTTCATTGTGTATTTTTCTGTGTGCCTGCTCTGTGTGTATCTGCTATGCAGATGGGATTTGGAAATGTGTCCTCTGTGTGTAGACTTTGTGTACAGTTGGTGTCTGTGAATGTCAGTACTCAGTCTGGGGACAGGGAGAGGGTATGTGGTGTGTATGCTTGAGTGTGGAGCCAGGAGGTGCACCCACGGCCAGGCCTGGCTCCCAGGACCCTCCAGGTCCTGTACCAGGCTGAGAGCCAGCAAATCCATAATTAAGGGGAGCAAGATGCTGGCTAGGAGAGGGCAACTCCCCCAGGCTGGAATCCCAGGCCCAACCTTTAATCCTTTCCTGCCCCAGAGAAAGTCCTCTTTCCCACCAAGAAAAACCAGTCCTTTAGTCACCTTTCCCAGGATGCCAAGAAGTCAGGTCAAGAACAAATATTTGTTCAGCACTGTGGTGTGCAAACCCCCTGTTATTAGCCTATTAGGTCTTTACAGTAATGCTAAGCGGTGGGTATTATTAGACCCATTCAATCCCCAAGGAAACTGATGCTCAGAGAGGGGAAATTATTGCCTTAGGTTGCAGGGCAAGTCAGAACTGGCACTGAACCCAGGGCTGTGTGGTTTCACTTCCCCTGCTTTTTTCACTGTGCCATTGAAGACCCACGTGGGCATGGCTCCACCACTGACTCACTTTTCTCCTCTCTGGAGTTGAAAAAGCAGGGATCTGTTTCTGGACTCCTCCATGTATGTCTTCTGGGTTGCAGCCACTCCTGGGAAACCAGCGTTGAGATAGGAGAAGAATATATCTGCCTGGCACAGCCACAGGGTACCAATGATATAGCCCTGCCCTCGCTTTCTGTCCACTGGCTGCTCCCAGGGTACCCTTGTGGGTGAGGAGGGGACCACATGCCCCAGAATAAAACACACAGGAGACCCAGAAGCCTCCTCTCTTGGGCTTTACAGCACTCTTACTGAGAAGAGTGGCTTGGCTCCACACCTGTGGCTCAAGTGGCTAAGGCACCAGCCACATACACCTAAGGTGGCAGGTTCAAATCCAGCCTGGGCCCACAAAAACAACAATGATGGCTGCAACCAAAAAATAGCTAGGCATTGTGGCGGGCGCCTGTGGTCCCAGCTACTTGGGAGGCAGAGGCAGGAGACTGGCTTGAGCCCAGGAGTTTGAGGTTGCTGTGAGCTGTGATGCCACTGCACTCTACCCAGGGGGACAACTTGAGGCTCTGTCTCAAAAAAAAAAAAAAGAAGAAGAAGAAGAAGAGTGGCTTGAGCTCCACAGCTCAGTATGATCTCATAAACCTAGCCCCCCAGCTATGACCACCCTCCTGGGGAGATTTCAGAAGCACAGAGAAGTCTCCCTGATTCTTTCTCCATAAAATGTCCTCCACCACTTCACTGCTACCTAAAACTCTGCTCAAAATTCTCCTAAAAGATAGGCTTGCTGTGCAAAGTGCAAAGACCCCTGGGAAAGAAAAGAATAGGTGGTGATTCACACTGTTGTGATAGGAGCTCCTACCCTAACAGCAAGTTCAGGCTGACCAGGCATCAGGTGCCGCCTCTAAAGAGACAATCACAGCACTTATGGCAGGGATTTTGTGCTCAGTAGTCCAGAGGTTCTCAAGCAGGCAACAGACTATGACAGATTTATCGCAAATTTACCAAGTCAAGAATCCCAAAGTGTTTCAGCTTTCAGCCACAGATCATGATAACTATGGTGGGAATCCACAGAACCTTCATAAGCTGCATACTGTTACCAGAATAAAAAGTACAAAAAGACGTCCATGTTAGGAAAAAGTTACAACAAATATGCTCGGATTAGAAAAAGCACATACCCGTCAAGTTCAGAAGAATATCTCTTCAGTCAATGCAAAATTGAAAGTGCATAAGTATTTGGTAAGAATCAAGGCCCTGAAGTTGCCACAGGACTTCCAACAGAAGTCTTGTCTAACATGGCCCTCAAGAGCACTGGGGAATTAGCAGTGCAGTGGTATATGACACCTGTGGAGCAAAAAGCAAGTAAGTCCTAATACCAGAGCAGCTCAGATTAAAAAAGGCAAATTGTTTTTATTTAAAGATGGTGGCTTACGCCTGTTAATCCTAGTACTGTGGGAGGCTGAGGAGGGAGGATCAACTGAAGTCAGGAATTCAAGATTAGCCTGAATGAGAGCAAGACCCCGTCTCTACACAAAATAAAAAATTAGCTGGGCATTGTGCCAGGCACCTGTAGTCCTAGCTACTCGGAAGGCTGAGGCAGGAGGATCACTGGAGCCCAAGAGTTTGAAGTTGCTGTGAGCTAGGCTGACACCACAGAACTCCAGCCTGGGTGAGAGTATGAAATCTCATCTCAAAAGATGGAGGGAAGGAAGGAAGGAGAGAAACAGGGAAGGGAAGGGAAGGAAGAAAGGAAGGAAGAAAAAAAGAAAGATGGTGAGAATGTGTTTTCATTAAAATATATTTTAAATACCAAAAAGCAAACCAAACCAAAATAACAACAAAAACAAACATAAACAAGCAAAAAACCAAAAAATAAGACCTGAGAGAAAGAGCAGGAAAGTACAAGAACTGGGAAGCAGGGGCCAGGAGCAGATGGCCAAAATAGGCCAAATCACCAAAAACAAGTTGACCTTTATTATTTTATAGTTTAGCTTAATCGACCTTCCTCACCCTTTTTTTCTTCTTTCTTTCTGGAACTCCTGAACTAGAAGGCTGGAAGAACCTTTGGAGACTCTTCCAGGTCTTTGTTGGACAGATAATAAACTGCAGCCCAGAGAGGATTTGCCCTCCCCCTACCTGGTGGTGCAGAAGACTCACAGGCAAGCTCAGACCCTCTCCTGGGAGCTGAGCAGCTTCTCTAGGCTACACCTGCACTTAACCTTCACCAGCACAATGGCCTTCCTGGCTTACCCACTCCGAAGACCTTCCCCAGGGCAGACATGTTTAATCTCACTGTCTTCATG